GAGCAAGACTCCGTCTAAAAAAAAAAAAAAAAAGTGGGGGCGGGGAATTAGAACCGGGTTCACCATATCTCTGTGGTGAGGTGTTAGGGATGGTGGGGTCCCATGTTTTCCCAGTCCTCTCTTGGACTCCCGCACCGGCCTGTTTGATGTGCCTTATACACTTTAACCTCGTTTAATTTTCACGATAACTCTATGAAGTAGTTGCCATTATTTCCCCTATTTTATCAGAGAGAAAACTAAGGCCCCGAGAAGCTAATTCACTCGTGCTAGGTCATGCAACTGGAAGTGGCAGAATGGGATGATTTTTTTTTTTTGAGACAGAGTCTCCCTCTGTCACCAGGCCCCAGGCTGGAGTGCAGTGGCACAATCTCGGCTCACTGTAAGCTCCACCTCCCGGGTTCAAGCAATTCACTTGCCTCAGCCTCCCCAGTAGCTGGGACTACAGGCGCACACCACCATGCTTAACTAATTTTTGTATTTTTAGTAGAGACAGGGTTTCACCATGTTGGCCAGGATGGTCTCGATTTCTTGACCTCGTGATCCGCCTGCCTCAGCCTCCCAAAGCACTGGGATTACAGGCTTGAGCCACTGCGCCCGGCCAGAGTGGGAATTTTTACCTGTGCTTCCTGGCTCCAGAATCCACTTTTTTTTTTTTTTTTTTTTTTTTTAAGAGAAAGGGTCTTGTTCTGTCACCCAGGATGGGGTACAGTGGTACAATTATAGTTCACTGCAACTTTGAACTCCTGGGCTCAAGCAGTCCTCCTGCCTCAGCCTCCCACGTAGCTGAGACTACAGGCAGATACCACCACACCCAGCTAAACTTTTGTATTTTTGGTAGAGACAGGAACATGCTATGTTGCCCAGGATGGTCTTAAACTCCTGTGCCCAAGTGATCCTCCTGCCTTAGCCTCCCAAAATTCTGAGATTACAGGCGTGAGCCACCACACCCAGACTCCACAGTCTTAACTACCCCACCGTGCCCTCTCATGGCCTGAGTTTACAGTTTAGTAAAAGATAAATATTTTTTATTTTTGAGATGCAGTTTTGCTCTTGTCCCCCAGGCTCCAGCAGTGGTGAGATCTCGGCTCACTGCGCCCTTCATTTGCCTCCCAGGTTCAAGTGATTCTCCCACCTCAGCCTCCCGAGTAGCTGGGATTACAGGCACGTGCCACCACACCCACCTAATTTTTGTGTTTTTAATAGAAATGGGATTTCACCCTGTTGGCCAGGGTGATCCTGACCTCAAGTGATCCGCCCACCTCAGCCTCCCAAAGCACTAGGAGTACAGGTGTGAGCCACCACACTCAGCCAGTGTGTCTTAATTCTGGGCAGCTGTGTGGCCAGCTGAACCTCGGCATTCCAATACTGAAGGGGAGGAGGGCAAGATGGCCTCTGAGGGCTAGGCAGGGATCTCTGCCTCACCCCGCCGCAGGTCCAGGTGTCCGGTGGGCTCCAGAGAGAAGGGCAGGAACAGTGACTGCTCACCTCCTTCCCTCTTATGTCCACCCAGATCTCGACATGGCAGGAGCTGAGGCAGCTGCGGGAGCAGATCCGGAGCCTGGAGGAAGAGAAGGCAGCCGTGACGAAGGCAGTGCAGGCCCTACTGGTGAGCGTGGGGCCCTGAGTGGGTGGGGAGTGGCTGCAAGCGTGTCTCTCGACACAGGTAACAGGAAACTCAATTTAAAGAGCTTGAACAGGCTGGCGCAGTGGCTCACGCTTGTAATCCCAATTACTCGGGAGGCCTAGGTTGAAGGATCACCTGAGGTCAGGTGTTCGAGACCGGTCTGGGTAACATGGTGAAACCCCACCTCTACTAAAAATACAAAAATGAGCTGGCATGGTGGCGGGCACCTGTAATCCCAGCTACTTGGGAGGCTGAAACAGGAGAATGGCTTGAACCCAGGAGGTGGAGGTTGCAGTGAGCCGAGATCACGCCATTGCACTCCAGCGCAGGCAACAGAGTCAGACTCCGTCTATAAATAAATGAATAAATAAATAAAAATAGCATGAACAACGTGGACATGCATTTCCTCACATGGCGCACCATGCAGGACCCTGGCATCCCTAGGGTTGATTGATTAGTGTCTCTTCCAGCATCCCCAGCCCAGGTGCTTTTCTTTTCTCTGCACCGGCAACATCATTGCACCGATCTTTCCTCAGTTTCCCCATGAGGGTTTCCAAATGGCTGCTGTAGTCCAGCGTCTCCTCACATGACTGTGCCAGTGGGGGGAGGAGACAGGGACTTCTCTGGCTTGAGTTCCTTCTCCAGCAGCAAGGACACCTGTCCTGAAGCATCCAACAGAGTCACCTCATGTCCCCGGGCCCAGAGCCCCACCCCACCCCAGTTGCTCAGGCAGACAGCATAGACCGATTGGAGACCAGCCTCAGGTGGGGCCCATGTCCCCTGAACTGCAGCTGCCGGTGAAGGGTGAACTGAGTCAGGGTTCTGTGGGGAAGGAGAAAGAAGGGATCATTTTTTTTTTTTTTTTTTTTTTTCTTTTTTTTGAGATGGAGTTTTGTTCTTTTTGCCTAGGCTAGAGTACAACAACACAATCTCAGCTCACCGCAACCTCCGTCTCCTGAATTCAAGCAATTCTGCCTCACCCTCCCAAGCAGCTGGGATTGCAGGTGTGCCCCACCACACCTGGCTAATTTTGTAATTTTAGTAGAGATAGGTTTCTCCATGTTGGCCAGGCTGGTCTTGAACTCCCGACCTCAGGTGATCCGCCTGCCTTGGCCTCCCAGCCAGGATCTTTATTTTATTTTATTTTTATTTTTATTTTTTGAGATGGAGTCTCACTCTGTCGCTCAGGCCAGAGTGCAGTGGCTTGCAACACCCTCTGCCTCCCAAGTTCAACTGATTCTCCTGCCTCGCCCTCCCAAGTAGCTGGGATTACAGAGATGTGCTACCATGCCTGGCTAATTTTGCATTTTAAGTAGAGACAGGGTTTCACCATGTTGGCCAGGTTGGTCTCGAACTCATGACCCCAGGTGATCCACCTGCCTTGACCTCCCAAAGTGCTGGGATTCCAGGCCACTGTGCCCGGCCTGGAAGGAAGGATCTTGGGATAGACAACCAAAAGCATCTGCAACAGAGGGCTTAAAAAACAGTCATGAGAAAAGCAGACCTTATGTAGAAATCGCTGTGCACCATGCCAGGTGCTTTCCATACCCTTAGTCCTCACAACAACCTCTGACACAGGAACCATACAAACCCAGTTTTACAGCTGCGAAAAAGTGAGGCCCTAAGACATTAAAACAGACCTAAGTGGCCAGGTATGGGGGCGTGCGCCTGCAGTCCCAGCTACTCTGGAGGCCGAGACAGGAAGATCACTTGAGTCTGAGAGTTTGAGGCTGCAGTCAGCCTCAAACTGTGTGATCACACCATCACACTCCAGCCTGGGCAATAGAGCAAGACCCTGTCTCAAAGAAAAAACAACCCAACAAAGTACCTAAGTCTCACAGCCAGGAAGCGGGAGAGGCAGGGTTTGCACCCAGGTGATTGGTTTGCAAGCCTCAGGCTGTGTGCGTCACCGACAGCCAGTGAAAGCAACGCAATGGATCGTCTAATGTCTTTTGAGTGCTAACTCATCTTTTCAGCGAAGCTGCATGTTGGGCAGGGCAACAGCAGCCCTGCCAGGGTGTCCTGTTACCATCCCACTTCACAGATGGGGATACTGAGGTTCAGGGGGGCAGACGTTTGCCCAAGGGCTCGCAGCAGGTAGGTGCCCAATATTCAGACCCAGGCTGTCCAATTCCCTCAGCTGCTTAGGATCATGGAAGGTTCAGAATGTCGAGGGCCCTTGGTTGCAGGCCCTCAAACGCCTCTCCACACCCCCATTTTCATATCTACACACAGAGTATATAAGTCTGTTTTCTTTTTGAGACAGTCTTGCCCTGTCGCCCAGACTGGAGTACCGTGGCACAATCTTGGCTCACGGCAACCTCCGCCTCCCAGGTTCAAGCGATTCTCCTGCCTCAGCCTCCCGAGTAGCTGGGATTACAGACATACGCCACTACACCCAGCTAATTTCTTTTTTTCATTTTGAGATGGAGTTTTGTTCTTGTTGCCCAGGCTGGAGTGCAATGGCGCAATCTCAGCTCACCGCAACCTCTGCCTCTCAGGTTCAAGTGATTCTCCTGCCTCAGCCTCCCAAGTAGCTGGGATTACAGGCATGCGCCACCATGCCTGGCTAATTTTGTATTTTATTAGAGACGGGGTTTCTGCATGTTGGTCAGGCTGTTCTCAAACTCCAGATCTCAGGTGATCTGCCTTCCTCAGCCTCCCAACGTGCTGGGATTACACTTGTGAGCCACCGCCTCCAGCCCCATTTTCACACTGCTATAAAGAATACCTAAAAGTGGGTAATTTACAAAGAAAAGAGGTTTAATGGACTCACAGTTTCACGTGGCTGGGAAGCCTCCGAAAACTTACAGTCCCGGTGGAAGGCGAAGGGGAAGCAAGGCACTTTCCCTTCCACGTGGTGGCCAGAGAGAGCTAGTCGGGGTAACTGCCAAATACTTTTAAATCAGCAGATCTTGTGAGAACTCACTCTCACGAGAACAGCATGGGGGAAACCACCCCCAGGATCCGATCACTTCCCACCAGGTCCCCTCCTCTACAGGTGGAATTACAATTTCAGATAAGATTTGCGTGGGGACACAGAGCAAAACCATGTCACAGGGTTTGCATGAATGCTTGCCTTCTAGAGTGGATTGTGAAGAACCCAGGTCATGGAGAGCTCTGTACATGGAGCCTGGCGTGGAGGCAGGACAGCTGTAGCTGTAATTACTGTTAATTATCTTGTCTCTGTAACGTCACCAATAGAGAAACTGAGGCACTGACAGAGCAGGAGACTGGGATCCTCTGGCCTTGTTTGACCTTTGACCCTTCCTTTTTTCTCTTCCCCACCCTCAACTTCATCAGCCTAATCACCCACCCTGTCTCTTTCCTGGCAGGCAAACCAAGACCATGGTGAAGTGCAGCAGGTACTGTGGGGAGCTGATGTCCTGTCCGGGGTCGGGGGTGGGCAGGGAGGATACTCTGCCAGTCACCATTCCACTATTGTAAGTAACAGAAAACAACTCAAACAGGTTTAAGGGGGGAAAACAATAGGCTGTATTGATACATGAAACTAAAAGCAGCTTCAGGTGCAGCTGGATCCAGGCACTGGCTCCATATTTGGTCCTGCGTTTCTTGCATTCCCAGGCCATCTTTCTTCCCTTGTGTAAGTGGGAGGCAAAGTGAAGCACACTTTCCTGATAGCTCCAGTTAAAGTCCTGGGGCTGATTCTCATGAGTTCAGCTGGCATCGGGTGCCTATCTCTGAGCCAGTCATTGTGGCCAAGGCAATAGAACGTTCCAGTTGGCCAGGCCTGATTCTTTGCCCCCACGAATCTGCCGTGGGGTGGTGAGGGAAGTTCCTGCAAAGACATTCAGGACGCTGGGCCCAAGAAGAGGCATGAATGTCCACCACAGGGGCTCTGCCAGTCAGGATCAAGGTCACGCTGGTTGAGGGAGTCCCGATCCCACCCGTGCTGCCCCCAGGACCCCCAGTACCAGAGTCTGCGGGCACGCGGCCGGGAGATCCGGAAGGAGCTTGTTCCCCTATACCCCAGGGAGGCGCAGCTTGAGGAGGAGTTCTACCTGCAGGCGCTGAGGCTGCCCAACCAGACCCACCCAGACGTGGTGAGTGCCAGGCCGGGTGGCAGGGAGGCCAGGGGCCCACCCAGGGCCACCTTCCCATGACTGCTGCTGTCTCCCTGCAGCCCGTCGGGGATGAGAGCCAGGCTCGAGTGCTCCACGTGGTCGGAGACAAGCCAGGTGGGCCACACCCCAGGCCTGGGAGCTGACGAGCCTTGGGGTATGGGGGGTCTGGAGTCTGGGCATGGGGACCCCCACAGTCTGGGAACGTGGCTGGAGCCTGGAAAACTGGTACTACAGGAGGTGGCTTCAGCTTCCTGCCTTGACCAGGCTTGAGCTGTCACTGAGAGGTGGTCCTAGGGTTTTCATTCTTTCTCCCTCACCATTGGGCAGACCCACCCTGTGTTGTGTGGGTGTGTATTGTGTGTGTGTGTATTGTGTGTCATGTGTGTATCTGTGTGTTGTTGGTATCTGTGTATCTGTGTGTGCATGTCTGTGTGTCTTTGTATATCTGTGTGTCTGTGTCTATATATGTCTGTGTATCTGTGTGTGTCCGTGTATTTCTGTGTCATCTGTGTGTGTGTATCTGTGTCTGTATCTGTGTGTGTCTGTATATCTATGTGTGCCTATGTCTCTGTATATCTGTGTCTGTGTCTGTGTGTTTGTGTTTGTGATTGCGTCTGTATCGGTGTGGGGGTGTGTGTATCTGTGTCTGTGTGTATCTGTGTGTGTATGTCTGTGTATCTGTCTGTGTGTATCTGTGTGTCTGTATCTGTGTGTCTGTCTGTCTCTGCCTCTCTCTGACCCCTTTGCTTTGGTCCCTGTCTCCAGGGCCTTTCCTCCCGGACTCTATGTGTCCTTCTCTCTGATTCTCCTCCTCCCGCCTCTCCTCTGTTTCTGACTCTGCGTTCCCCACCCTGCCCCCTCTTAATCCCCTCTGCCTCCATCTCATTTCCTCTCCCCGTCTCTGCCTTTCTCTCCCTCCCTCCCTCCCTTCGCTCACTCCCTCTCCCTCCCTTTCTGGGCCCTCCTCTCCCTTCTCCCTTCCTGCCCCTCCTTTCCTTTCTCTCGCTGTCCCTCCTCCCTCCTGTCTCTGGAAGCCTTTATCTCAGCCGAGTCCCTCTCTGCCCCCCTTACACCAGTGCTTTTCACCCACATCTAGCTTTCTCCTTCCAACCCCGGGGCCACCTGGAAATCGGCGAGAAACTCGACATCATCCGTCAGAAGTGAGCCCCTCTCCCGGCTCCCAGCACCCCGTCCCAGCCGCCGGTGCCCCGACAGCTGGTGGCCACTCCTGCCCCTTTGGCTTCATCATGAGATGTGGAAATGCCATGAATCTTTGATGCCCCAGCCCCACCCAGCAGCTGGGCTTCTTCCCCCGGGTGTTTGTGTCCCCACATTCCCTGCCAGCCTGGCCGATGTGCACACCCACCTGTCTCTCTGTCTGTCTCCCAGGCGCCTGTCCCACGTGTCTGGCCACCGTTCCTATTACCTACGAGGGGCTGGGGCCCTCCTACAGCATGGCCTGGTCAACTTCACACTCAACAAGCTTCTCCGCCGGGTATGGGCCAAGATAGGAGGGCTGCCTGGAGGGGGTGGCATCGAAGCTGAGCTCAGAGGGCTATGGGGTCACTGCTCTGCCCTAGTCACTGCTCTCAGAGCTTCACATGTATCATTGACACATTTAGTCCTTGTGACAACTTCATGAAGTGGGTGCTGTCATCATCCCCACTTTAGAGAGAGGATTGAGGTCCAGAGGGGAAGGTACCTAGCCCACGGTCCCACAGCCAGTCTGGAGCTGGGCCTCGAGCCTGTGCTTGCAACCACTGCACGTCACTGCCTGCTTGTGGTATAAAGGGGCAGCTGGGAATCATGCATCCATTAAAACACGGCAGGGGCTGGTTGCATGGAGCATTGGTCATGGTGAGGGACTCAGACATTTCCAGAGGGTACTAGGGAGCCATGGGAGGTTTTTAAGCAGGCGAGGGCATGGCCAGACCTGTACTTTTTATTTTATTTTATTTTTGAGATGGAGCCTCGCTCTGTCACTCAGGCTGGAGTACAGGGCCACAATCTTGGCTCACTGCCACCTCGACCTCTTGGGTTCCAACCATTCTCCTGCCTCATCCTCCCAAGTAGCTGGGATTACAGGCATGTGCCACCATGCCGGCTAATTTTTTTTGTCTTTTTGATGGAGTCTCGCTCTGTCACCGAGGCTGGAGTGCAGTGGCACCATCTCCATGCTGGCTAATTGCTGTATTTTTAGTAGAGATGGGGTTTTGCCATGTTGGCCAGGCTGGTCTCAAACTCCTGGCCTCAAGTGATCTGCCCGCCTCAGCCTCCCAAAGTGCTGGGATTACAGCTGCGAGCCACTGCGCCAGCCCCTGCCTCAGTTTCATCTGAGGACGAAGCGTTTTGGAAGCCGCTGGCACTCTGCAGCACCCCATCTTTGGGGCTGAGCTTGGCGCCTGGTGGGGGTGCCAGCTCTGCTCACTCACCCTCTCTCCTGAACAGGGCTTCACCCCCATGACGGTACCAGACCTTCTCCGAGGAGCAGTGTTTGTGAGTGAGGCCGCCCCGCTCCCCTCCGCCACCTGGGTGTCAGGTCCTGTGTTGCAGGTGCCTGAGGCAGGGACACCTGAGGAGACCGCCCTGGGGCTGAGTTGAGGGGGCCAGGCCATACCAGGAAGGCCAGGGTGACTCCAGATGTGTCCAGGGGAGGAGCTGGGGTTGTGACTGTAAAACAGGAGAGGCTGGGCTTACCCTGACCCCTGTGGCCTGGCCTCCTCCCTCAGGAAGGCTGTGGGATGACACCAAATGCCAACCCATCCCAAATTTACAACATCGACCCCTCCCGCTTCGAAGATCTCAACCTGGCTGGAACAGCGGAGGTGGGGCTTGCAGGTGAGCACCTGCGTGGGCACTGGGGGAGGAGCGGGAGCGATGTGGGAGGACAACTGGGAGCATCCAGGGGCAGGTGGGGATGGCTGCCTGCCTAGAGCAGCTCAGCAGCCCCAGGGCCAACATGTACGGTTGTGTAGGTTGTTTACTGCACAACTGTGCAGTGACAATCAAGCCCCATGCCTTGACCTGGGGTTTCATCCACCAGAGGGAGTGCCTCTTATTCTCACAAAGGCTTCCTCGGGGCACTGGCAGCCCTGGCTCACCCTGTGGTCCCCTTCTCCTCCCAGGCTACTTCATGGACCACAGCGTGGCCTTCAGAGACCTGCCAGTCAGGTGACATCTGGTTTCCTCAGACCTTGACCCTACCTGTGACATTCACTCTGCCTTCCTTGACCCGACCTCCCCTGCTCTCTGCCAGGATGGTTTGTTCCAGCACCTGCTACCGGGCAGAGACAAACACGGGAAAGGACCCCCGGGGGCTGTATCGAGTCCACCACTTCACCAAGGCTGGTGTCTCGGGGAATAAGCGGGGCTGGGGTGGGGGTCACCCCAACAGCTCAGAGCCTCCTGACTCCCTTGCCCTCTGTCCCAGGTGGAGATGTTTGGGGTGACAGGCCCCGGGCTGGAGCAGAGCTCACAGCTGCTGGAGGAGTTCCTGTCCCTTCAGATGGAGATCTTGACAGAGCTGGGTTTGCACTTCCGGTGTGGAGAGGGGCTGGGGGCCGGGATGGCTGGGGTGGGGTAGGGAGGGATGACGGGCTGGCTAGCTGCTGCTTGGTCTCGAACCACCTCTCCAGCCCTCTTGTTGCCCCGTTTTCCTGTATAAGGATTACAGGGCCATAGACAGGATTCCCTATGTGTGCCCGTGAGCCTATGGTCCGTCACGGGATTAACAGAAGCAAGAGTAGCACAGGGTGCCCCAGGGTGGAGACCCAGGCCCCTTTCCTCCTGCTGCCCACCCACGCTCCCTGGGCCACTGTCTCATCTGTCTTACCTGTGCAGCTTTTTTACCACCCAGTGGGAAGCGGGGCTGGGAAAGGGAGAAGCCAGAGGTTGCAAGCCCCACTTGCCCTCACCCTGTCAGGGACACGCAGCTTTCAGGAGAGGCTGAAAAATGTGGGCTGCTTTTCTGGGTGACCCATTGTAAAAAAAAAAAAAAACTGGAAATGTAGGCTGGGTGTGGTGGCTCGTTCCTGTAATCCCAGCACTTTGGGAGGTTGAGGCGGGAGGATCACCTGAGGTCAGTCAGGAGTTCAAGAACAGCCTGACCAACATGAAGAAACCTCGTCTCTACTAAAAATAGAAAAGTAGCCAGGAGTGGTGGCACATGCCTGTAATCCTAGCTACTTTGGAGGCTCAGGCAGAAGAATCACTTGAACCCAGGAGGCGGAGGTTGCAGTGAGCCAAGATCATGCCATTGCACTCACTCCAGCCTGGGCAACAAGAGTGAAACTCCCATCTCAAAAAAAAAAAAATCATTGGGAGTATAGGCTGGGCGTGGTGTCTCATGCCTATAATCTCAGCATGTTGGAGGCCATGGCAGGAGGATTGCTGGAGGCCAGGAGTTCAAGACCAGCCTGGGTAACATAGTGAGAGCTCGTCTTTCCAAAATTTTTAAAAATTAGCCGGGTATGGTGGCACACACCTGTAGTCCCAGCTACTCAGGAGGCTGAGGCAAGAGAATCACTTGAACTTGGGAGGCGAAGGTTGCAGCGAGCCAAGATTGCACCACTGCACTCCAGCCTGGGTGACAGAGTAAGACTCTGCCTCAAAAAAAAAAAAAAAACCGACGGTGCTGTTATAGAATGCTCGAATATGCAAATGGCCACTGTGAACAGCCGGTAGACCCTGCCACGTGCATTTCCTCCCCCATCAGCCTCCCTCGTGCCTCCTTTCTGTATGCCGCCTTGTCCGTCACCACCCCTGGCCTCACGACTCTCCTTTCCCTATCATCTCCTCCTTTTTATATATTTTTTTGTTTTTTGAATAGATGAGGTCTCCCTATGTTGCCCAGGCTGGTCTCGAACTCCTGGGCCTTTTCCTGCTTTTTGGCTGCCTTTTCTTCCATTGCTTCCGTTCCTTCTCCCTGTTCCTCCTCTCACCCGCTGACCTTCACCACACCTTTCACCTTGGCTGCAGGGTCCTGGACATGCCCACCCAGGAACTGGGCCTCCCCGCCTACCGCAAGTTTGACATTGAGGCCTGGATGCCAGGCCGTGGCAGCTTTGGAGAGGTGAGCCCTGCGCCACTGGACACGCAGGGTGGGAAGGAGGACAGACCAGCCCCCATCCCTGATGTGCTCAGCCTGCCACCCCCCACCCCAGGTCACCAGTGCTTCCAACTGTACGGACTTCCAGAGCCGCCGCCTCCACATCATGTTCCAGACCGAAGCTGGGGAGCTGCAGTTCGCCCACACGGTGAGGCCCGCACAGCCTCCTGCCCTTGCGCCCTTGCCCACAGCCTCTGTCACCCTAGACCCCCTCACCTGGGCCCTCCCCGGGCCGGGTTTGGGGTGGGCTGGGCGGCTGATTCCGAGCACGGCTGTCTCACAGGTGAATGCTACTGCCTGTGCTGTCCCTCGCCTCCTCATCGCACTCCTGGAGAGTAACCAGCAAAGGGTAAGGGGTCGAGGGTCCCACGCAGAGAGGTCACTCAGTATAGGGGAGGTGTGGGGTGTCTGCAGCATCCTGAGGCCTGCTCTGTCCCCAGGACGGCTCGGTGCTTGTGCCCCCCGCCCTCCAGCCCTACCTCGGCACTGATCGGATCACGGCCCCCACCCATGTGCCTCTCCAGTACATCGGCCCCAACCAGCCCCGGAAGCCTGGGCTCCCTGGCCAGCCTGCTGCAAGCTGAGAACCCACCCACGGCAGCCCTTGGTGTCACTGCTTCCTGGAGCTCAGGAGATCTCAGACACCTGGGACCTGTGTTCCCGAGCCCATCCTGACTTGTGCGACCCTCCTGTCAGCTCCACGCCTGGGCCCCTGGACCCCGGGTCCACCTCTCCTCCATCCCTGTGCCTCAGAGTCAGTCACTGACCCTGTTTTCATTGAGGGTCCCTGTGGGAAGCAGGACATCTGGGCTTTACGGTTCTAGGGATGGGAGAAGCAGAGGAAGAGGCCTCCATCCCTCCTTCCTTCTTCCCCCCCACAGTGCTGACCAAAAAGTCCCCAATAAATGGTCAGGATGAAGGCCTCTGTGGATCTGCGAGCGAGGGAGATGCCCGGCTTTCCAGGAGCTACTGGGTGGCCGCTCGGAGGCGCTGTCCTCTGTGGCTGTGAGGACCATGGCTGGGAGTGCCTAGCCACCCCGCAGCACACATGGAGGCTGGCTTGGGGGCCACCAGGGGAGCTGAGAGGATGTCGAATTCTCCCCTCCTCCAGGACAAGACCCCAGGGTGAAGGACAGCTTCACCCCTCTCCTCAGTCTCCAGTTCCCCATGCCGCTGTCCCTTCTGCAGCTCCAGATAGGGGCCCAGCAGGCATCGCAAACTCAGCGAAGCCACCTGGTCCTCCCCAGACGTGCCCATCCCAGGACATTTTCCCAGCTGCCCAGGCCACAACCCCTCAGGTTAGCCTTGACTTTTTCTCATATCCACGTCCACTTCATTAGCAATCCTGGCGGCACTGCCTTCAGAATAGTTCCAGAATCTGGCCAGGTGTGGTGGCTCACGCCTGTAATCCCAGCACTTTGGGAGGCTGAGGCGGGCTGATTACTTGAGGTCAGCAGTCTGAGGCCACCCTGGCCAACATGGTGAAACCTCATCTCTACTAAAAATACAAAAATGAGCTGGGCATGGTGGCATGCACCCATAATCCCAGCTAGGCTGAGGCAGAATTCTTGAACCCAGGAGGCAGAGGTTGCAATGAGCTAAGATCACGCCACTGCACTCCAGCCTGGGTGACAGAGCAAGATTCTGTCTCAAAAAAGATTTCCAGAATCTGCCCACTGCTCTCTCCACCCTGACCCCACATGGCCTTGTCCTCCAATCCCTCCCTCTTGGCTAGCCCTGGAAGCTTTCTCACTGGCTCCCTGCTGTCTGTCCTTGTCCTCGCCACAGCCAGAGGGATCCGTGAGCACCTCAGTTGGGTCATGTCCCACCCCTGCTCAGAGGCCTCCTGTAGCTTCATCTCAGTAAAAGGGCAAAGTGCTCACTGAGGCTCCTAAGACCCCACCTGAGCCACTCCACCTTCCTCTTCAGCCCATCTGTCTTGCTTGGTCCACCCGACCTGCTTTGCTGTTGAAACTCCAAATTCCTTCCCGAGTCAGACATTTGCATCGTCTCCTCCTCTGTAATCACAGCTACTCAGGAGGCTGAGGCAGGAGAATCGCTTGAAACTGGGAGGCAGAGGTTGCAGTGAGCCCAGATCGCGCCACTGCACTCTAGCCTGGGCAACAGAGTGGGACTCCGTCTCAAAAAAAACCTCTCTGGATGAGAAAACAGGCCCCGGAAGGGAAGGAGTTGCTTGAGGTCCGTCTGTGAGTGGCTGACTCTGGGTCCCCACCCAGGTCCACCAGTCAGTGTGGAGAGCAAGTGTGCCAGACCCTGCTGCTCTGGGAAGAGACCCTCCCAGGCCGGGCGTGGCAACTCACCACGCCTGTAACCCCAGCACTTTGGGAGCCCCAGGCAAGAGGATCACTTGAGACCAGAAGTTTGAGACCATTCTGGCCAACAAAGTGACACTGTGCCTCTGCGAAAACTAATCATTAGCCAGACGTGGTGGTGCATGTCTGTGGTCCCAGCTACTCGGGAGGCTGAGGTAGGAGGATCAGTCGAGCTCAGGAGCCTGCAGTGAGCAAGTGATTGTGCCATTGCACTCCAGCCTGGGTGACAAAGCCAGACCCTGTCTCAAAAACAAAAAAAGGGAGGCCCCCAGCCCTCCGCCGCTGTGCTCCTGGCCGGAAGCCTCAAGGGGAGCGCATGTAGGGCGGGGGGCCTCATGAATAATTGAGGGTCTCAGGCGACCGCCCCGCAGATGTCGCCCCGCCGCGGGCAGGGAGGGGGCGGCAATGACATCACTTCCTCCCTTCGGGGCCGCGTGGGTTATAAGGCGCTGCAGTCCCGGTCCACACAGCTCCGTGGACCCGTCGGATGCCCACCATGCTGCCCCATGAGCCCGCCTCCCTGCTGCTGCTGCTGCTGCCGCTTCTGCTGGGAGCAGGTGAGTGCGGGACCCGTAAGGGGACCGGGAGCAGGGACTCGGGTGGCCAGGGCCGGCGGTGCACCTAGCAGAGGCTTCAGGGTCAAGCCTCTGGCTGGGACTGTGCACCTACCAGGTGGGATGAGGGGGTATGTGTGGGGATCGGGAAGCCCATGGAGCTGGGGACAGTACTGGGGACAACAGCCAGGGCGCCCGAGCCCAGCACCAGCCTCCTTTCTCCACAGCCACCGCTGCTCCCTTGGCACCGAGACCCTCCAAGGAGGAGGTGAGGAGTGTGGAGCCCTTGCCCTGCCTCACCTAGCTGGGCCCTGCCCTCCCTGCACAGCCTGCCCCATGATCCCCATTGCCCTCAAACCAGCCGTTCTTCTCCCCATCCCCCTCCCCCCAACCTTCCCTCTGACCTAGCACCCCTGCCCCCCAGCTGACCCGCTGTCTGGCAGAGGTGGTCACAGAGGTGCTGACCGTAGGCCAGGTCCAGAGAGGACCCTGCACGGCTCTTCTCCACAAAGGTAAGGAGGCCCCAGGTCCCACTTGCCCTCTAGAGCTCCATCAGACCTCACCCCACCCCACCCAGGGTCCTGCCCAGGTGCCCCACGTGCCCTCCCGCCCGGGGTTCCTGGAGGAGGGGGCCCTCATTCCCACAGCCCTTTTGCCTGGGCCAGTGGGGCACTGCCAGCATTCACACCTGCCAGAGCCTGGCCACCAGCTGCACCCTTGTGGCTCCCAGCAGAAGGACCAGGTGGGGCAGGGCACATCCCCTCCCTGGTGGGTTGAACTGGGACCCTCCCCTTCCAGTCTGGGCAGCCCCCCGTGAGACCTCAGGCAGGGCTCAGAACTCTTCAAGGCCTCAGTTTCCCAGTTTGAACTCCTGACCTCAGGTGATCGGCCACCTTGGCCTCCTGAGGTTACAGGCCTGGGCCTGCATGCCCAGCCTCAGTTTCCCAATTGGATGCTTAGAGAGCATCCTTTCCCTTTCTGCCAGAGATGTGCGGAACAGAACCCCACGGCTGCACATCCACCGAGGATAAAGGCCTGCTGCTTGGGGATTTCAAGAAGCAGGAGGCTGGGAAGACGAGGTCCAGCCAGGAAGTGAGGGATGAGGAAGAGGAGGAGATAGCAGAGAGGACCCACAAGTCCGAGGTCCAGGAACAAGCCATCCGAGAGCAAGGGCACCGCCAGCTCCACCGGGAGGAGGACGAGGAGGAGGAGGAGAAGATGGAAGAGGAGGAGGAGGAGAGGAAGAAGGGGCCCCTGGAGACCTTCAGTGACCTGTGGCAGCACCATCTAGAGAATGGAGGGGACCTCAAGAAGCGGGTGGCAGAGAAGGCCAGCGACGAAGAGACGGCCCAGTTCCAGGCAGAGGAGAAGGGGGCTCGAGTGCTGGGCGGGGACCGCAGCCTGTGGCAGGGGGCCGAGAAGGGCGGAGGAGAGAGGCACGAGGACTCGCCACGCCGCCACCACCACCACCAGCAGCCAGAGGCTGAGGCCAGGCAGGAGGAGGAGGCGGCGGCTTTGGAGAGGGAGGTGAGTGGGGGATGATGGAGGAGCGCCAAGACAGTGTGGAGGGAGGGTTAACCAGATGGTCAGTGGAGTTACAACTCAGCAGCCACCAGTGTTGGCCATACACCACCAGATCCATCACGAGTGGATCACAGTGACCAAGACTGACCCCAGGACTGGGTAACAACTTCCGTGCACGGCCTCCTCTGCTTCCTACTTCCATATACGGTATGGACTACGGCAGCCAAGATGGTGCCATTATTGCATAGAAGCAAGGCAGTGTCACTAGCAAGTTGGCCATCATGAAAGTGGTCGCTGTGCCTGCCTCACTAGGTGACAGACACCACTGCTGGGTCATGGAAGACAAGGTATCTCCATGATTGGTGGCAGTAACCAGAAGTGTCATCACAGGCTGGGCATGGTGGCTCATGCCGGTCATCCTAGGGAGGGGTAATCCTTTGGGAGACCAAGGCGGGAGGAATCGTAGAGGCCAGGAGCTGGAAACCAGCCTGGGCAACATAGTGAAACGCTGACTCTACAAATTTTAAAAATTAGCCAGGCATGGTGGCACACGCCTGTGGTCCCAGCTCTCAGGAAGCTGAGGTGGTAGGCTTGCTTGAACCCTGGAGGTTGAGGCTGCAGTGAGCCATGATTGTGCCACTACACTCCCAAACTGGGCTACAGAGCAAAACTGTCTTAAAAAAAAAAAAAAAAAAAAGGCTGGGCATGGTGGCTCACACCTATAATCCCAGCACTTTGGGAGGCTGAGGCAGGTGGATCACTTTGAGGTCAGGAGTTTGAGACTAGCTTGGCCAACGTGGTGAAACCCCATCCCTACTAAAAATACAAAAAATTAGCCCAGTGTGGTGGTGGGTACCTGTAATCCCAGCTACTTGGGGGGCTGAGACAGAAGAATTGCTTGAACCCAGGAGGTGGAGGTTGCAGTGAGCTGAGATCGCGACACTGCACTCCAGCCTGGGTGACAGAGCAAGACTCCATCTTAAAAATAAAAGTGCTCCCTTCTGCAGCACATACTAAAATTGGAATGATACAGAGAAGATTAACATGGCCCCTGCACAAGGATGACATGCAAATTTGTGAAGCGTTCCATATTTTTTTATATTAATTTTTTAATTAAAAAAATAAAAATAAAGTGCTATCACATCGCAAGGCACTCATGCCAGGCACCTTTGCCAGTCCCATGCCGCTGCTGTTGGCTGTGGTCACATTAGCCACTACTGCTCTTCCAGGGTTATGGCAGTCAGCATGGTCACCATCGCGGTCCACGGTGATCAGAACGACTGCTGCTGGCTGCCACTGTGAGAACCGACGTGGCCCACGTTCACAGTGACTGAGGTGGCCTGTCTTTGAAGGTGGGTGCTGACCACCGCCTTTCTGACCCCACCAGGAACAGGAGGTGGAGCGGCTGGAGCACTTGAGAGACGAACTGAAGAAGGTAACGGAGACGCTGGGGGAGCAGCTCAGGAGGGAGGGCTGACCCCTGCCTTGTGCCCTCCTTCCTCCCGACACACCCTGTGGCTTATGTCTGTTGACCCTGAAGCTTCCACCTCACCTAGCACCCCACAACACCCCTACTGGAGCAGGGGAGAAGATGGGCGTGCCTTGGAACCACACCCGAGTTGGGTAGGGGACTGGGGTCAGCCCTGACTCAGGAAGCACCCCCACACCCATGCATTCCCACTCCAACCCTTCTGAGTAAATAAAGCACAAAGAAACGCACCCTGCCTCCATGATGTGGCAAGGATGGGCCCCAGAAGGACCGGGAAGACGACATCAGTCTGGTTTCTGGTTTTCAGAATTGGGGTTTTATTTATTAAATTGGAAATTATATTAACAATCAAATGAATCAGATGGGGCCGGGGTCGTCAGGAAGAGGTTTCGAGGCTGGGGTGGGAGGCAACCGGGTTTGGCTGCAGCCGCTGTGAACCACAATGTCGTCATATTCATCCTGGGGGCAAAGGGGACCAGGCAGAGGAGCTCAGACGTCTTCACAGAGCAGCCTAAGAATTTTGTCTTGCCCCAAAGCCCAAATTCCCCTGCTCCTGGCTTGCTTCCTAGCTCTCAGAACTCCATTTTCCTTTCTTTTCTTTTCTTTTTGAGATGGAGTCTCGCTCTGTTGCCCAGGCTGGAGAGCAATGGCACGATCTAGGTTCACTCCAACTTCTGCCTGCCAGGTTCAAGCAATTCTCCTATCTCAGCCTCTCAAGTATCTGGGATTACAGGTGCCTGCCACCACGCCCGGCCAATTTTCGTATTTTTAGTAGAGACGGGGTTTCACCATGTTGGTCAGGCTGGTCTCTAACTCCTGACCCCAGGTGATCCACCTGCCTGGGCTTCCCAGTGTGCTGGGATTACAGCATGAGCCACTGTGCCCAGCCAGAACTCCATTTTCAAATTTACTTCTATAGTCGGAGTTCTAGCCCAGCCGACACTCCAGCATTCCCGCAACTGAGATGGCCCTCCTCCACCCCTTCCCTCCGCCTTTATCCAAATCACTGCATGCCCGTCATTCAGCCCCGCGCCTTGCCCAAGGTCAGGTCTGTATTGCTGGGTTCTCTGACTGCATCTCTCCCCGCCGCTGGCTTGGGTCCTGCCCCACCACTGCTGGTGTTCAGATCACTGCCACCCAAGGTTGTCATTTCATAGCCTGAATTCTCCAGCTCCGACGCTGCCACCCACCCCCGCCTGTGTTCACCAGTCACTACAACCAAGGTCTTTTCTCCAACTCTGGCTGAGTTCTACTTTTGCCACCACCTTAGCTTTTCAGCCACTTCTACCCAAGCTCTTCCCGCCTCCCCTTTTAGGTCTCTCCTGACTAGTGCCCCATGTCACAGGCGCTGCCACCTGCCTGAGTTCTCCAGCAGCAGCAGCCCGAGGTCAGTCTCCACGTGCACCTAATTATCTTCTCCTGCTTCCTGCCTGCCGGTCTACCCTGACCCCCCAGGTGGGCGGCCCTGTCTCGCCTCCTGACTCACGCCCTCGTCTCCGCTGTCGCTGTCGCTGTCGCTGTCGCTGCTGCTGCTGCTGCAGGGGCCGGGTTTGTCGTCCTCGTCCTCAGGCTCAGGGGCTCCGTGTTGACGGAGGAGGCGGGCAAGAATGGGGTTGGGCCGGAGCGTGGCACTGCCCAGGGGGCTGCGGCCGCCGTACATGCGGGCAGCAGGGTTGGCACCTGCCCTGAGGAGAAGCTCCAGCACGTCGGCCGCCTGAGCCTCCACTGCCAAGTGCAGGGGGCTCCGGCCACACGTGGGCTCCTGTAGGGGTGCAGCAGAAGGGTCAGAGGACCCGAGGAGGGGACCAGCCCCCTCCCGATGACAGCAGCTTCCCCCAGGGTGGGGCTCACCGGTTTGTTGAGGTCAGCTCCGGCGTCTCGGAGCAGCTGGACCATCTCCGCATCTTTGTGGATAATGGCCACGTGGAGTGGGGTGTGGCCTGGGGACAGAGTGACGCATCAGATGATGGGGTGAGGGGTCCCCCATGTCTTGATTCTGGGGGAGGGCCATGTGGCCGGAGGGTGATCAGGTGTGGGGCTGGTTCCTGAATCTTTGGGTATGTCAGAGAGGTACGTGGGTCCTAAATGCCTGTGTCAGATGGCCTGAGCTTGCCAGCAAGTGCTAGAGCCTGGGCTTTGAGAAGCCAGGGGCCCATGGGTGAAGAGCCTGGGGTTTGTGGATGGGGGGCCTGGATTTTGGGGCCAGAAGACCTAAGTCTCTGCTCTTATTTCACAAAGGACCTGAGCTGGTGCGCCGGCTCACGCCTGTAATCCCAGCACTTTGAGAGGCCAAAGCAGGCAGATCACAAGGTCAGGAGATCAAGACCATCCTGGCCAACATGGTGAAACTCCATCTCTAGTAAATACAAAAAATTAGCCAGGTGTGGTGGCAGGCGCCTATAGTCCCAGCTACTCGGGAGGCTGAGGCAGGAGAATTGCTTGAACCCAGGAGGTAGAGGGTGCAGTGAGCTGAGATCACACCACTGCACTCCTCCAGCCTGGTCGAGAGTGAGACTCCGTCTCAAAAAAAAAAAAAAAAAAAAAAGGGTACCAAGTGGCTGAAAAGCCTGTGATCTGGGGGTGAGAAGCAGGCCCTGAACACTGGGTCCCGAATGACCTCAGTCCATCTGAGGAGAGGTCTGGTACCAGGTGGGCAGGCTTATAGGTGAGGGAGCAGAAACTTGGATGCCAGGCTGTGGGCAGGTGACTCCTTTTTCCCATGAGGCAGAGGAGGGCTGTCCCTGCTGCCCATCGCTGGGAACCTGGGGTGCCAGAGTTTCCCAGAGGGCCTGAGCTCTGCATTCCCTGGTCCTAGGGTGGGGTAGGGATCCCAGCTTGAATACACTCTGCAGGTGGGGAGCCCAGGGGCCCAGCAACTGGATCCTGGCAGCTCTGGGTCTGTGAGTGCCAGGTCTGCGTCCCAAGTGATCTGGGGTCTCCAAGTGGGAATCCTAGGTCCTACACATCCAATTGTCAATCATCTGGGCCCTGAGTGGAGGTCCCTGGTCCCAATGCCTGGGTTCCTGAAGCCTAGGCATGATTTCTCAAGGAGTTTGGTCTGGAATCAGGGAAGAGAGCCCAGGGCCAGGTGCTCTCGCCTAGCCTGGGAGCTCAGTCCTTCCCTGGTGGCGACCCTCACCCTCATAGTTTTCAGCCTCCAGCTGTAGCTTCCAGTCCTCCTCACTCTCCTCTTCTTCCTTCTCCAAGTCGGAATCAGGGTACAAGGCGACAGGGGTATGGTTGATGTCGGGATTATGGTCCGGGCCCTGAGGGAGGTAGGTGTCCGGGGCTTCCCTGGGCCGCCGGGGGCGGGGCTGAAGCAGGGCACGGGCACAGGCATGTGCCCCCACACGGCAGGCCAGGTGCAGCGCCGTGTGGCCCCCGCGCTCTGCCACACACAGCCCAGCGCCTGCTGCATATAGCTTCTCCACCGTGGATGCCTCCCCCAGGATGGCTGCCAGGTGCAGGGCCGTCTGCAGAAGCAGAGGACAGGCAGTAGGGAGTCACACTGGGAACCCCAGACCCCAACCCCTACTCCATCCCCTCGTGGCTCACCTGGCCTAGGTCATTCTGCAGGTCCATGTACTCAGTGCCGGCTGAGAAGCCTAGAAGAAAATCCAGGAAGGGTTCGTGCTGATGAATCACAGCCAAATGCAGTGCCCTGGGAACAAAGACTGGGGTCAGAGGGCAAAATTCAAGTCCTCTTGCATTCCTTCATTCAACAAACAGGGGGTGCCTACTGTATGCTAGGCTTTGGGACCACAGTTCTGGAACCCACTGTCAGCTATCTGGGAGGGTCAGAGAGGTCAGAGTTTCATCAGCAAATTCGTGGAATCAACAATGTTTATTCAGTGGGATTTCCACTTCTGCCCAAAATGAAGTAACATGGACCAGACTTCCCTCCCACAAGAAACAAAGAAAAATCAGACAAAATACGGTATATGAAGCAACAGTGTTGAAGACGCTGGACGTCATGCAATGAATCACAGTGGCCCCCGAAAGACAGGAAACATGAGGTGGGCCCTACACTTGACGGTTGAGAGAGGGGACCCCAAGCAGAGCCCATCAGGTTGTCTGAGGTCAGGAGATGGACATGGAGGAAGAGTCTGTAGAGACCAGACTTGTCAGAGTCACAGCACAGAGTACAAAACAGAGTTGTTGGCCAGGTGCAGTAGCTCACACTTTGGAGTGAGCTAAGAATCAAAGACCAATTAAAAACTAAAATAAAATTAATAAAACCAAATTAATGAAAATTAATAAACCTAAAGTGGGTTCTTTGGTAAGATCAGTATTTATTAAGTGCTTCCTGGGTCAGGCACTGCTTGCATCACTGGGCATACGGCAGTAAACACAACAGACAAAAAAAAAACCAGTACAGTCCCTCATCTGGGCCTTTGCAATTGCAGTTCCTTCTGCCTGAAATGCTCTTATCTTGTTTATCTATTGCCTCATTTTCCTGCTTTATTTTTCTCCAAAGTACTGACAGCTTGTGACTTTCTTTCCTTCTCTTACTTTCTGTGTTTCTTTCTTTCTGTTTCTTTCCTTCCTTGCTGTCTTATCTGTTTATTTAACCCCACTAAAATAAAACGTCTCCTTCACAAGGGCTTTCGTTTTTGTCTGTTTTCTTCACTACCTTTATCACTAGCACCTAAAATGAAGCCTGGAATGTGGTAATGTGTAAAGAATATTTGTTTAACAGATGAATCCTTGGTGTCATGGAGCTTACATTCTTTTTTCTTTTCCTATTTTTCTACTTCAATTAGGAATTCAACATAGAAGAACTTACATTCTCACTCTTTGACTTTAAGACTTGAAGAACACTGCTCAGAAGACAAGATCTTAGAGTCAGGGACCAAGTATTAATTTCGGAAATCAAAGTCTAAGGCTCACATCAGGAACTAAGAATCAAAGATTATATTTGCAGGTTCGAAGTCAGGAGAAGCCACAGTTCCAACAAAAGCCTCAGGATTGGAGTCGGGTTTGGGTATCCGTGGATAGAATGTGGATTCCAGGAGCTGAGAATCATAGTTCAAGAAAGGAAGGTCTGAAATGATTGGGTTAGGATCACAGCTGGATAAAAGATTGGTTTTGTTAAAAGTTAGGACTCAGGGGTTACAGGTCAGGAAGTTCAGCATCGGAAATCAGATTTAGGAGTAGGAGGTTAGGAAGCCTCAGGGATCAGAGACTAATGAGGAATCAGACGCCGGGTCCTAGGGCTCCGTTTGGCAGCCTAAGGTTCACTCACGTGTCCCCATCCTCAGTGACGTAGCCGAAGACGAGGGGCGCCCACGACAGCCCCGGGCCCAGCTCGGCGCCCAAGCCCGGTCCTCCGGGGGCCGCTGCGTCCGGACCCAGGGAGCCCAGGCCGCTGTCGCACCATTCATCTGCGTCGGCAGCTTTTCCCAAGCACGCGACCCCAGCCATGGCCCCCGCCACCTCAGGGGCCCCCCGCAGTCGCTCGCCTGTAGCTGGGCTTTGCCGGAGTTCTGGCGCTTCCGCCCTGCGGGAAATTCCCCACCACGCCCCCTGATTCATCCAATGATAATATGCTGAATCGCTCGCGCCCTGCCCTGGTACCGTATCCTGACCAATCAGAGTATTTGGGAGGACTACGACTCACTAGCCGTTTCCACATCTTCCGGGCGCCCTTTACCAACATGGCTGCTGACGCCGCGCCTTCTGGGACTCGTAGTCCGGCCCTCGCGCGCTTTTTTACTTAAGACTGGGGCGCTCTGGCTGTTGCATGAAAGCGCGGCTGCGGCCGCAATGGCTACTGGGAGTTGTAGTTCTAAGCCCTATCCCGGCCACTCCCATTTCTGGTGCCGTCACGGGACAGAGCAGTCGGTGACAGGACAGAGCAGTCGGTGACGGGACACGGTGGTTGGTGACGGGACAGAGCGATCGGTGACAGCCACGAGGGCTTCAGCACCGCGCCCATGGCAGAGCCAGACCGTGAGTCGGGGACCCGGGTGGGAGGGTCGGGCCGCGCCGGGGCCTAGCTGAAGGCTGCAGGCCCCGGGGCCCGAGGGCGGCCGCGGCGGGGCGGGAAGTAGGAGCGCTTCGGGGAGTGGGATTCTGAGGGCTGTTGCTAAGCGATCTGTATCGCTAGGCTGGTGGGTTTCTGGGTCGCAGGGTGTTCAGGGTTGGTTTACCACATCCGCTTGCCAAGTTGCCAATAATGGCGTGTTTTTCGCATCTTGGTTGCTAAGGACCCTCGCTGCAAAGAACCTAAGTTGCCGCGGTCCCTGTTGCTAAGGGTACCTGATTGTTAGAGGCAACCGGAGGATGCTGAGGGACCCCTGTTGTCCCCTCCTATGGCTTCCCTTTGTATCCGCGCCTCTCCCAACCCTACCGCCTCCACTGCACCACTGCACCTCCCTCCCAAACCTGCCTCCCAGCCGAAGCGTCCCCTCCCTTCTCTCTTCCTTTCTGAACTTCCCTCTGCCTTGTAAATCTAACCCTCCCGCACACACACTCGCACACTGCCGTGTCCTTCCTAACTCCTCCTGAGTGTTCCTTCATGCCCTGAATCCCCTAGGCAGGAGGTAGGAGGATCGCTTGAGCCCAGGAGTTTGAGGCTGCAGTGAGCTATGATCGCACCATTGCATTCCAGCCTGGGTGACATGAGCCAGACCCTTTCTTTAAAAAGTAAAAAACAAAGAAAGTCAGGGCCAGACACAATGGCTCATGCCTGTAATCCCAGTACTTTGGAAGGCCAAGGTGGTTGGATCACTTGAGCCCAGGAGTTCAAGACCAGCCTGGGCAACAGGCCCTACTTCTCCCTGTCCTCCTAAATCTTCCTCCCCAGCCTCTCTGCCCCTCACTAATCACCTCTCCGGGCATCACTTTGCATGCAGATAAGATCTTTTCTCCCGTCCCCTCCCTCCCTCTGCTCCAATTTTACCACCACCCTGTCCCAGTGTAACTAGGTTGGTGGGTGTTCTTGCCCCTCACTGACAATTTGAACCCTTGTATTCCCCCCTTAATCGTTCTCCCCACTGTAACCACCTCTGCTCCCCTCCCCCAGCCTCTCACCCTCTGGAGACCCAGGCAGGGAAGGTGCAGGAGGCTCAGGTGAGATGGGGGAAATGGTGGAGGGGAGGAGAGACATGGACTTGTTCCACATCCCATGCTGGGGGGAGGTGGCAAAGGAGAGACAGTCACCCCAGGGCCCTTGGCTCATTGTCCCAGTCCTCACACCACCCAGTGCAGCTTTCTGGGGAAAGGCAGATTCTGGGGATTGTCACGGAAGTCTGCAGTCTCAAGTCCAGGCCTGCCCTCCCAAACTCTCCTCCTTCCTTGCCACTGCCTGCCATCCCTTCTGAACCAAATTTGTCCTGGGCCTGGAAGAGACAGGTGTCCCGTTTGGTCTTGGAACACACAGATCTCATGGACAAGCAATGGGAAAAATGATCTCACAGCCTGATGATGAAAGGAACTCGGGGTCGGGGCTGGGGAGGCAGGTGCAGTGGCTTATACCTGTAATCCTAATAACTCAGGAGGCTGAGGCATGAGGGTCACTTGAGTCCAGGAGTTTGAGGCTGCAGTGAGCTATGATTGCATAGCTGCACTCCAGCCTGGGTGAAAGAGCAAGACCCTTTCTCTAAGAAGTAAAAAAGAAAGAAAGAAAGTAACTCAGGGCCAGACACAGTGGCTCATGCTTGTAATTCCATTACTTTGCGAGGCTGAGATAGGAGGATCACTTGAACCCGGGAGTTTCAGACCAGCCTGGCCAACATAGGTGGCCCCCATCTCTACAAAAAATTTAGAAATTAGCCATGTGCAGTGTTTCATGCCTGTAGCGCCAGCTACTCAGGAGGCTGAGCGGGGGGAGGATTGCTTAAGCCCAGGAGGTTGAGGCCGCAGTGTGCCGTGATTGTGACACTACACTCCAACCTGGGTGACAGAGCAAGATCCTGTCTCAAAAAAAAAAAAAAAAGAAAAAAAGGAGTAAAAAGAAAAACTCAGGGCACTATGGGAGCACAGAGAAAACTTTCTGGGTCAAAGAAGATTCCAGCCAGACCGGTCCCTGGAGGAGTCTGCAAGCTGGTCTAGCTGTCAGACACAGCGTAAGTGAAGAGTGACTTAGAATTTTCTTAGACAAGGTGAGAAATGGTGGTCCACACGGCAGGTGCAGCTTGTGCAAAGACCTGGGGGCACGAAGGAGTGTGATGATGTGTTCCGTAATTGGGCGGCTGGTGGTGGGCGGCTCGTGATAGTCGTGGTTAGCGTTGACTGACAGCTTACTTAGGCTGGGCACTGTTTAGTGACAAATGTGCCTCATCTCATTTCATCTTCCTGGCATCCCTGTGAAGAGAAATGCCTATCATGGCCATTTTACAGATGCAGAATTTGAGGCAGAGTTGTTAAGTCACTTATCCTCTGTCCCTAGGCAACAGGAGTAAGGAAGGGTTTGAGGCCGGGCACGGTGGCTCACGCCTGTAATCCCAGCACTTTGGGAGGCCAAGGCGGGTGGATCACTTGAGGTCAAGAGATTGCGACCATCCTGGCCCACATGGTGAAACCCCGTCTCTGCTAAAAAATACAAAACTTATTTGGGTATAGTGGCGCGTGCCTGTAGTCCCAGCTACTCAAGAGGCTGTGAGGCAGGAGAATTGCTTGAACCTGGGAAGCGGAGGTTGCAGTGTGCCGAGATCACTCCGCTGCACTCCAGCCTGGCACCTGGTGGCACAGAGAGACTCTGTCTCAAAAAAATAAAAATAAAAATAAAAAAAGGAAGGGTTTGAGTCCCCTAGCACTGGGCGCACTGCCTGCCAGCAGCTGCCAGGAGAGGTGGGCAGGCAGTCTCATGGGAGCTTGAAGGCACCCGCCAGCACCTCCAGCTCTCCCTTAGGCCAAGCTGCAGGCACATGCTGGGCACAGGCCCTCCACAGAGCCTCACTGTGTACAGCCTGAAAGAGCGCCAGCCCACCCACACCCCCGAGATTGCCTTTCAGATGGGGGGCGGTGCAGAAGTGGGCATCAGAATACCTCACAAATGCACAGTGGAGCCATGCTGAGGGTATAACAGCCTCCTGTTAGACTGTGGCAAGTCACTCGCCTGGCCCCCAAAGCACCACCACTGTCAGAGAAAAAGGTTGAATGTGAAAAAGGAGCCTCAGTCCCAAAGAGAGAGATGCAAAATGCAGCATTGTCCGTCACAGGGCCAAACTGGAAACAGTCCAAATGGCTGTCAGTGGATGGGTTAAATGAACTATGGTTCATCCATACAATCCAGTACTATGCAGCTGCTGTGAAAAATGAGGTGAGGCCAGGCACGGTGGCTCACACCTGTAATCCCAGCACTTTGGGAGGCAGGAGGATCACTTGAGCCCAGGAATTCGAGAGCAGCCTGGGCAACATAACAAGATGCTTTTTTTTTTTTTTTTTTTTTTTTTTTTGGAGACAGAGTCCTGCTCTGTTGCCCAGGCTGGAGTGCAATGGCGCACTCTCTGCTCACTGCAACCTCTGCCTCCTGGGCTCAAGAGATTTTCCTGCCTCAGCTTCCCGAGTAGCTGGGAT